TCTCGAACTCCTGACCTCAGGTGATCTGCCCGCCTCAGCCCCCCAAAATGCTGGGATTACAGGTATGAGCCACTGTGCCCAGCCTCTGCTGGTCATCTTTTAATAGAAATAGAGTGATTTATCCAGGGTCACCCAGCCAGTTTGTAGAAATATTGGCACTGAAGTTTTGAATCTAAGTTCTTTATCTTTGCTCCGATCCAGGGAAAGAAAGGAAGAAGGATTCCCTATTTCAGAGGTGGAGCATAGATAGGAATGACCATACAATTTATTGCCTAATCAGGATGCTCAAAACACAGTGAAGGGGAATGCTATTATTATTATTATTATTTTGTTTTATTTATTTTTTGAAATGGAGTTTCACTCTGTCACCCAGGCTAGAGTACAGTGGCGCGATCTCAGCTCACTGCAATCTCCACGTCTTGAGTTCAAGCGATTCTGTGGTCTCAGTCTCCCAAGTAGCTGGGATTACAAGCTTCAGCCACCATGCCCGGCTAATTTTTGTATTTTTAGTAGAGATGAGGTTTCACCATGTTGGCCAGGTTGATCTCAAACCTGACCGAAAGTGATCTGCCCGCCTCAGCCTCCCAAAGTGCTGGGATTACACTTTGAATCACAAGCACGCGGCCAGGGAATGCTATTGTTAATTGCACCCGGATGATAAAGCTTTTTCTTCAAGAAACTCAAGTGAGAAATCCTGGCTCTTCTAGTCCTAGGGCTCTCTGTGACTGATCTGCCAGCTTGCTTTCTGCCTCTTTCTGGCCTCCTCTCCATGAAAAAGAGAATCTGCCTCACTCTCAGCAGCGTCAACTGAAAATCTTGACAAAACCGCCAATCCAGCTGTGCGAGGTGGCTCATTCCTGTAATCCCAGCACTTTGGGAGGCTAAGGAAGAAGGCTCTCTTGAGCCCAGGAGTTTTAGGCCAGCCTGGGTAACATAGCAAAACCTTGTCTCTACAGAAACATCAAAAAATTAATGGGACTTGGTTGCATGTGCCTGTGGTCCCAGCTACTCAGGAGGCTGAAATGGGAGGATTGTATGAGCCCAGGAGGTCAAGGCTGCAGTAAGCCGTAAGCCATGGTTGCACCACTGTACTCCAGCCTGGGTGAGAGAGCAAGACCCCATCTCAAAAAAAACAAAAAACAAAAAACCACCCTAACTCCTAAGCCCCAGTTGAGTGACTCCTATTTCTCAAGGGCCCCAAGCCCCCTTTGCACTTTTATCTTCCACATCTGGAAATAGATGCTTCCATGTTTAGCTGAGAAATTCAACAGACACTGGTTGAGTAAGTCATAGAAGCCAGATGTTCTGACCCAGAACTAACGAAGCTGTTATGGTAGCAGGACTGATCTTTGATTATGAACAAAGGCAAAAAAAAAAGCAGGCTGGGCACGGTGGCTCACACCTATAATCCCAGCATTCTGGGAGACCAAGGCAGGTGGATCACCTGACGTCAGAAGTTCAAGACCAGCCCAGCCAAGATGGTGAAACCCCATCTCTACTAAAAATACAAAAGTTAGCCAGGCTTGGTGGCGGCTAACTCAGCTACTTGGGAGGCTGAGGCAGAAGAATTGCTTGAACCTGGGAGGCAGAGGTTACAGTGAGCTGAGGTTGTGCCACTGCACTCCAGCCTGGGTGACAGAGCGAGACTCTGTCTCAAAAAACAACAACAGGCCAGGCACAGTGGCTCACGCCTGTAATCCCAGCATTTTGGGAGATCAAGGCAGGCGGATCATCTGAGGTCAGGAGTTTGAGCCCAGCCTGGCCAATGTGGTGAAAACCTGCCTCTACTAAAAATACAAAAGTTACCTGGGAAGGGTGGTAGGCGCCTGTAATCCCAGCTACTTAGGAGGCTGAGACAGGAGAACCGCTTGAACCTGGGAGGTGGAAATTGCAGTGAGCCCAGATTGCGCCATTGCACTCCAGCCTGGGTGACAGAGTAAGACTGTCTCAAACAACAACAAAAACAAAAAAGCAGGAAGCAGACTCTTTAGCTAGTTCAGCTACAGTAATCATGTACATGTCTTTAGTCTTATCATTTATATATATATGTACACACACACACATACATACACACACACAGTGGAGGTATGTCTTGTACAGGGACTAGCTTGTGAAGTTAGCGCAGAGAGATAACATGGAACACAGTTGAGTTGCCTTGACATTGCTCAGAAGGTTAGATACACACCTCATGTGTACAGCTGTGTCCTGTACACAGTAGCTATGAGTTCGTGCTATGTTGGTGATTTGTGTCCCATGTATAATTCTAAAGAAAGATTATATTCAGAAATGCAATCATACACATATGTCGCTACTTACAACACTGCAGCCCGATTTTTTTTCTTTTTTTTAAAAGAGATAGGGTGTTGGCCGGGCACAGTGGCTCATGCCTGTAATCCCAGCACTTTTGGAGGCTGAGGCAGGCGGATCACGAGCTCAAGAGATCGAGACTATCCCAGCTAACACAGTGAAACCCCATCTCTACTAAAAATACAAAAAATTAGCCAGGCGTGGTGGCGGGCTCCTGTAGTCCCAGCTCCGCGGGAGGCTGAGGCAGGAGAATGG